CTATATGTATGACAGTATACGTAAAATACAAATAATCTATATATATATATATATAGTTTGTGAACGCGAATGTATATAAATGTGTATTTGCACATATAAATGTGATTGCTAAAAACATATACAAGTATAAATTTAATATGAATACATAATTGTTCGGTCGGGGACATGGCAAGGAACTCACTCGATTTGAGGTATTCATATCAGGATATGTGAGACCTTCACATCAAAAAATCTCAAAACAAGAATTAAATGCAATATTATTTACTTTTATATGCATTTAAACAGACGAGAGGCAGACAGACAATCAATAGACACACACCCGAGGTATCACAATACATACGGAAGTATTAGCATTCTCAACAAAACACCTCGAAGGGATACAGCCCTGACCCTTTCTTTAGTGTATAAGTGTAGAAACGTTTCCATACCTGCATGTGTGGCATCGTAATCCATCACCACCTGGTAGTACAACGACTGGTAGGTCACATGAGTCATCGAAGACATCCTGAGCGTCACCACAACCATGAAGCTACCCGTAGCAGTCTTGTTGAACAGGATTCTGGGCAGAAGTGGATCCAATGAGACCCGCCATTCGTACATGATCAAGCACGCACCGCTGACCACGCCGACGCCCAGTAGTGAGAAGGTCTGTGCGGAATACCAGTCCCACTTCTTGCCCCCGTTCTTCATGGCCAGTAGGATACCCGAGGCAAAGATACACAGCAGAGCGAAGCCAGCAAGATCCAACGCCCGGAAAATGGCCTTCATTTTGCCGAAAACACCCTAGGAGATAAATGGGAGTGTGTGGATTGCGTTAAAAGCACACCCTGCGATTCAAGTATGTGGCGCTAATTACTGTGTACACACTTGTCCGGGGCTTAAGTGGCAACCGGATCCAGGTCGACACCAAATGAATTCATGATTCTGAGAAACAAATACATGCACGAGCACTCCCAGTGAGCAAGGGCTTGTGATACCTACCTGTCCCTGCTCGAAACGGACTGGCTTGAGTCTAGGTAGTCGTAGAGAGGCGAAGATGGGCACGACCGCGAATGCGCACGTGACGCACAACAACACATAGATGTATCGCCAGTTGATGCTCAGCACTATGCCACCGATGACTGGCCCTGCCCAGGCCATGATGACCTTATCAATCTCTAGGTAACCCTGTGCGTAGTGGTTGACAACGGCGAAGGGGATTGTGTTAAGAAAGACTACGGCGTTGGTACTAGAGCCCCGTTATGGGTGTGAACTGGGGAGACACGCCGCAGATCTGAGTACAAATGTGGATGCCAAAGCACTAGTCACTTTTGCGTAAGCATCTGTAACGATAGATTGCGTTTTTAAATTGGCAAGGTGTTATATTCGAACGGTCTCGAAAGGCCCATTTCCACTTGACGTACGATTAGAATCATGAAATCGCTATAGGAAATGGAAGTTATGCACAAAACAACAGTCGCCATGGGTATCGTATTCAGGACTTACATTCAAACATTACATTACATACGTTATCAAAGTCATTAGAATCACTTGACACAATCATACCTGCCATTTGCCCCGATGTCGAAGAGGCACCAAGTCAGCGATGGTTATCTGACACATGATCCACAGTCCCATCACACCTGCCACACAGAGAAGAAGCCATAATGATGAGCATACCAACTGACTTAGAACTGTGCCTTAACAATATCCCACACAGAGGAGAAGCCACAATGATGAGCATTACAACTGACTTAGAATTACGCCTTAACAATAGCCCACACAGAGAAGAAGCCATAATGATGAGCATCCCAACTGACTTACAATTATGCCTTAACAACATCTCGATAGTTCCAGCTAACGAATCAAATACACCAGATAAAGTAAACAGTTACAGTTCATCAGGTCAAAGTCAAGAGCGAATATCGCGGAAACATGGATGCACCCGTACCATACAGAGATGAATCACAATCTACCAGAAGACACGCATACACTACTACTATAAGCACACACAAGATTGTGCGCACCCTGTACAAACAAACTCACCTGCATAAGCGATGGACATGCCGAGCAGATACTGCGGGAATGTTAGAGAACTGGCACACAGAAGGTTGCCACCACAATAAGTCAGTGAGCAGAAGAAGAACGTCTCTCGCCTCCCGGCAATATCCGAAAGTTTAGCCCACATCAGATGACTAACAGCACCAACCATGTACGTAACCATGGCAACCGTGCCCACCTGATACATCGACGAATGGTTACGAAAATACGTTGAGTCTGAGGTACATGCGACCAACTAAGTAACCCAGACAACCACAAACTGGCATACATACTTCGTTGAGAGATCCTAGTTTACTGAGCACATTCGGTTGCACAGCAGCCTCAATGTCCTTGTCGAGCATAGTCACCATCATCACTAGACAGAGGCCGATATAAACGAACGCCACTCGCGCCGTTGTATAGCTATGTGTATATTGATTAGGCAGGTACATGACGGTGGTTTGAGAGCAGTTTTAGCTACACGCATTAGAATATAGTCCCCGTCCAAATCAACTAAATATTGTGCATCAATTTTCATTTGAACACAAAATTCTGAGCAAGCAATGTGAACAGAAACCTGTAGAAGACCGTCACTGGTGGTGTAACCAAAACTGGTACCAGAATGTGTGATACAATATAGACACCATCTGTACGCAACAAGAACATATATCACTACAAAAACAAACAGATGAGACCTAAAAATAATTATAATATATATATATATATATATGAAAAAGCAAACAAAATACACACACACAGCTTGAAACAAGATCTACATCCATAGAGGAATGCATCGCGCGCAACTCAGCGCGCAACTCAAATACACACCAATACATGTAGACAGATAACTTTTCACACACGAACACTTATCCAACATCCTCATAAACACCTTTATAATATACAAATTTATATTGTATATATACATATTAATATATATATATATATAGCGTATTCATATTGATATGAAATGTTTACACACATGCATATATATATATATATATATATATATATATATATGTGTATTTATATATATATATATGTATATATATATGTATGCATGTATGCATGTATATATTATATATATATATATATATATATATATATATATATGTGTGTGTGTATGTTTATATATATATATATATATATATGTGTGTGTGTGTGTATTTTATATATACATATATATATATATATATATATTTATACATATATATATATATATATATATATTGATATATATATGTTATGTATATAATATGTTATGTATATATATATATATATATATATATATATATATATATAATATGTTTGCATAAAACGTGTCAGGATATATTTATATATATTTATA